TGCGACGGCTGGTTAACGGAAAAACAGATATTTTTGAACAGACTAGATGGGGATGCAAAGCAGAAATTCTCAACGAATGAAAGAAAGTTACACTGCCGTTTGTCTTAAGTAGAAGACTAAGGTAACACGATACAGATGACACCGAAACACAAAAACACCTCTTTGTTGGTTGTCCCTTCGAATCGAGAGATTGCAGATGATCATTTCGTTGTCAATGAAGTATACAGGTCGTCATTCAGCTGATCCCACGATAGCTATCTCAGTGAATAAAACATGCTTTGAAATGAGTTAATTTATATGGGATGTATATTTCAAAATCCACTGTAACAATCAAAATTTCTGAAATTCATATAAGATTCTTTCAGAACCTTCCATTTTCATGCGAAAATGCCTGGAGATATTCGACCGAATCTCACTCTCCTTCTAATGAATTGTGCGTTGTCCGGCTCCGTGCTTCGCAGTGACGTCACAAGTCAGGACAGAGCGGACAGAGAGATGCGCGTCGGCAAACCGTTATGAGTGTATCGTGTTTGTAACTAACGTTACAACAGTTTTGTCCTATGAGGACATTTTCAAACTTATACATTAAAGTAACAATGGTCGATTACATTAGTCGTTATATAGCACCCCTGTTGGTAATAATAGAGGTACTTGGCTTGAATAAGTACCTGAATTTACAATTCACAATGCGAATATGCTAATTTGAAAAACCAGTGAGTAAACTAAATCGATCAATTGTCGCAAACACCGTCCTCTCATGGGTTTCTTTAATCATGGGAACGGAAAAGAGTCGCAAGGGGGCAAATCTGGTAGATATAATGACTGATGTATGATCACGGTGCTGTTTTTGGCCCAAAAAAATATGAACACTCAATGAGTAGTGAGCAGGTGCATATTCGTGATGAATTGTTTTTCCACAGCACTGGACGTATCTTTCCTATTGCGTCTCGCAAGCAACGCCTAACTTCAAAATAATACTTCTTATCAACCATACGACCATGTGGCAGAAGCTACTGATGCACCACGCCACGGTAATTGAAAAAAAAAGAGCAAAACCTCGCCATTTGATCAAACTTGGTGAGGTTTTTTGGTCTTGGTGCTCCTGGATTCTTCCATTGGAATGATTGGGCTTTGGTTTCGATGTCATATCCTTTGGTCATGATAATATGAACAGACAAATCATTTCACTTTATTGACCATTCATCATACCTTTTTTGACGGATATTTTCAATACCTGTATATATGAAAATTATTTTTCTATCGACTGGAAAAGAGCATTTGTTTTACTTTTACCTAAAGTTCCTAATGCAATCAATTTCAGCCAGTTGAGAAGTATAAGTATTCTTTCAAGCCTGTCTGAAATTTCAGAATAATTTTTAGAAAAAAAAATCCTCACCTAAGTTTCAAAAAAAAAATTACTTCCTGAACATCAGTCTGGCTTTAGGAGCGAATGCAGTTTTTTTTCGGCCTTGAGTGCTATTACTGATGATAGTAAAGACGCTAGAAGACAACAAAATGTACGTTCTTATTATGATAGATCATTCCCGTGCCTTCGATACGATTAAGTATGAGATTCTTTTATCAATTATACATTACCTTGTATTCAGCAGGACGTTAGTGAAACTCCTATAGTTATATTTACCAGATCGTCAACAACATGTGAGGATTGATGATAAAATTTCAGATAGTCTAAGCATTCAACGAGGTGTACCTACCACAAGGTAGCATTCTTGGTCCTTTTTTATATGCATTGTATACTTTAAACTTCATCATAATTTTTACCATTGTAGTTATCATTTATATGACGATGACAATAAAGTGTATTTTTCTTTCGATATGGACGAAATTGAATAGGCTTATGTTATAATTGATGTAGACTTATCGCGACTCGTAACATTATCGTAACATTTTTTTAAAATCAATTCGTCGAAAACTTGCGCCATTTTATTCGAAAATGAAATTAAAAAAATAGAAACTACGGATAGATTACGAATATGTATCAATGATTATGTAATAATTTTCAGCGATCATATAAAAAATTTTGGTTTACATCTGGACTCGAAATTGCGATTCGAAAAACATGTCACTTCTAAACGGAAAACGGCATACGCAGCTCTGAAATTGGTTTATCCTCATCGAAATGAAATTAATTCAACAGAAAAATGTTATCCAACCCGATTGTTCAATCACATTTCAACTATCGTGACATGGTTTATGGTCCTATTCTTTCGGATATCTGATGCCTTTCGTATCCAAAAGGTACAAAATTCATGTCTACGTCTAATTCTTAATTTCAAAAGAAGAGATAGGATTTCACATGAGCTTAAGGAAATGGGCTGGTTGAGTAAGTCGAATCGTCGTTTACTACATTCACGTTGTCACAAAATCCTTAAAACTTATACACCTGAATTTCTGTGCAAGAGAGTCACATACAGGGCAGATATTCGTAATCTTAATCTGAGGAGGAAGAATCTTATTGATATTCCAATCTTATCAGATTTCTATAACTGCCTCTTTATTGGATATTTCCAATATTGCATTGTCTTTGAATTCCTCCAGAAAAATATTTTTGACCCACTCATGATATAGCCTAGTGAATAAAATGTCTCTTTATAGTTTAAATTTGTTCAAACAGTGGTATATTATAAGTATTAATTATTTATATAGGTTATAGGTACTCACCTTATAAGTTAGTAGATTTTTCATCAATGATTTATTATTTTTTTAAGGAAGTGTATCAGATTGGTTATTGTAGAACTGGATGGTGCTGCATGTGTTTTGTGCTGTCTTTAAAACAGAAATTCTTAACGAATGAAAGAAAGGTAGACTGCCGTTCGTCTTAAGTCACAGAGCAGGTTAACGCGATACAAATGACACCGAAACACAGAAACACTTGTTTGTTGGTTGTTCCTTCGAATCGAAAGATTGCAGATGATCATTTCGTTGTGAATGAACTATACAGGTCGTTTTTCAGCTGATCCCACTAGTGTGGAAGAATTGGTCAACTGACCTAAAACTACTCCTTTTGTTTTGCTGTTTTCTTTAGGTTGAGTTTTACAGTTCTGTAACTATTTAACCGGCAAGCAATAAATAATTCATTACTATATACTCATGATTCGTCACCAGTTTAAAGCAAACCTGGATCGCCGTTAACGCCACTCAACAATTCCTGGGCGATGGTCATACGACGGTGTTTTTGGTCAAAATTCAGCAATTTTGGAATGAACTTCGCTACCACATGCTTCATGCTCATGTCATGAGCCAATCGACAATTCTCCATAACAATTTTCTTCACTTCCTCAATATTTTCATCGGTAGTTGATGTGCTGAAGCGTCGAAAGCGAGCGTAGTCATTATCATCTTCTCGACCTTCTGTGAGAAGCGTGTACCGCTTGTAAACATTTTTCAGACTCAGAGTACAATCGCCGTATGCCACTGTCAACATTTCAAGTGTTATCGAGCAATAAATTGAATGTTTTGTACTTAATCCAATGCAAATTTTTTTTTCCATATTTTTCGATAACAGTAAATCGCCGAACACGCAAAACACTCCCAACTTTTATGCCTCTCATCAACAAACTGAACTGTGTATATATCTTCGAGACGAGCATACCGATATAAAAAAAAAATTAAAAATCTCTAATCAAATGTACGTAGCGAGCAATATTTGATCATTCACATTATTTTTTAAACAGTCCTCGAACATTAAAGGACGATGAAGTTTCAAGTGAATAGAATTTTATATAAATACTCTTCGAATTATTACATCGTTTCTATGAAAAATCTATTTAAAAATCTGTTTGAAATCTGTTTTTCCGTTAATCAGCTGCCGCCCCCATAAGAACGACAACTCTCAGAAGTTAAGACACTTGTGCGAGCTAAGGACTAACGAGGTCTTACCTTTTAACGTGTGATTCCAAACACGGAATCATTTACAACAAATGTTTTTTTTTTCCAATTTGTATCTGTAAGAAACTTCTATGCATTTACTATTCAGCTTCTTCCTATTAGAGGCATGGTTTTCTCATTGAACCGTTTTTTTTTATAATTACCGTATATATTCCAAGTTAGAAATTGAATGTTATTGAATAGAAGAACTAAAGTGAATAAAGTAAAATCTCATAATAATTTGAAAAATGTGGTACCTGGTTTTTTGTTTTGAGATACAGACATTTTTTATTGAACAGAAATGTTGAAAGAATTTGAGCCCCCAGATTCTTTAAGAACTGTGAACTCTTTACAAACATACTGCAAATGAAAGATCAACAATCATGCTTTTTACTTGCCAAAAAATCAGTGAAAAATGTTCGTGAGTACAAGAACATAGGCTTCCACGGTCGAAGTCACGATCAGAGCGAACAAAATCCGGGCAAGTAGGCCGTGGTTGAATGGAACCTGAGGTACCCAACCAAAGTTATATTTCTAAGCCTCAGTAATCGTTCGTTGCTAAGAACTAAAGTTTTGGCAACGAACGATTGCTGAGACTTGGAAATATAACTTTCGTCATCGCAGTAAACGAACATACCACTGATGATGTCTGCCGCAGTAACAGACGAAACGTTGGGTACTTCAGGTTCCTTTCGACCACGGCCTGCTAGCCAAGATTTTATTCTCTTCAATGTCCGTGAGTTTTCTACATTTTTTTTAAGAATAACAGGATTATAAACAGTGATGAATGTAACAATCACCAAAATTACTTTAAAACAATGAGAACTCGAGCCCCATGTTATGAACCTTCATTATCAGGAATGATATTCTCTTCCACCATCTTCAGACTGGGCCTTACTTGCGATACAACCTGTTAATTTCTCTATCCATAGTTAAAATAATAACTTTACCAAAATGATATTAGTTTTTGAATTATTGAATTTTACTCGAGTTATCCAATGATCGAGTGACTTGAAAACTGCCGAAATAAATGTGGTCATAGTCAAACTATTATTATTAAATGACTGTTCCGGTATCCCCAGTTCTTTATTTCCTGTCCGTTTTGTTTTCAGCGACCAGAAAAATAATTTTGTTACCTCACCTGCTATACCTGCCGTTGTTCCACGAGGAGACAAGGATGCGATAATGAATAGTATAGCAGATTCGTATCTTTTACACAAAGAGAAAAAGCACAAGAAATATCACAGAGGCAAGAAAGGTTATCCCAAGAAAATACGTGAGTATTTTTTTATTTACGTTGTTGAAGTATGAATATAATAACTCAATATGAGCCCCGGAACTTGTCACATATTACAAAATTAGGAAACAAATCTCTATTTTCAACAATAGGGTTGAAAAAATGTGTATTAATCGAAATTCAACGAAAGTTTTGATTGAAATATTCCTGTATCATTGTAAGAACAGTATATTCAATGAATACCGCGTGAGCCTAAAAGAATGAAACGAAATTAAGGAATTCAGTTAGCAGGAGTTTATTGAGAAATTCATTATTGGATTATTTTTGCCTATTTTCATTACTATGGACTACTCTCTGATTTCATGTTGTTTTCTATCAAGTCGGAAAAACTATTTGAGATTTATTTGCATTCAACTCAAGATTGCGTATTGTGAATATATCTATCAGGTTCTGAAGGTCTGCATTAACTTTTTCTGCTGAAGTTTGCCAGTTACTATGAGAAAAGAATAAATGCAATTGAGTTTCATCAGCATAGTGGTCAACATTCGCTTATTACTAGATGCATCTCTGAAATGAATAGAATAATAGAGGTCCACAAATCGTGCCTTGGGGAACTCCATGAGCCACATGCAGAGTATTTCAGTGTTGACCATCAAACATATGGTTTGAGTTCAATGACTGAAGTTGCTTTGAGAAATTATAAAAGGAACAAGGGAAGCACAATGACTTGTTTCCAGACTGATGGAACATGATTTTTCCAAAATGATGTTGAAAATATGAGTAATGTGATTGATGAAATAATCCTTAATATATCTTAGCATATGAAGAGAGAAGTAATCATATCAAAAGCAGTTACTTTCCATACTATTTAGATATTGTCTGACTTGAATAGGTGACACTCGAGAAAAATACAGACGTAGTTCATTTCGGTTCTGGTATTTGTCGGAAAGTCTCAACTATAGATCTGTTTCAGATGGATGGTGGGTATGACAATAGAAATTAAAATTCATCCCAATTAAATTTCTCAAGTTGTTTCAAAATATCCAACATTGAAGTATCAAAGATAGTTATAGTTTCACAAACTACACCTACCGATTTGATCTTCACAAATTTTCAAAAATATCACATGTTTCGCTATCACAGTAGTTTTTTCGTAGTATTAATTTACCAAATGTTGATTCTTTACTCAATTTATATATACCCCACGTAATTCACCAGTGAGAACTACCTATTTGGTACTCACTAGATCATAATTACCTAGACCACCTACTCAAATTTTATATACCTGAGATACATCCCCAATTACCTATAGCATATTATATCAATTCTACATTAATAATAATATGTCTACGAATACTAGGATGACATCAGTTTCTAAGAAAACAAGTTCAGTAATGGTAATTTATTTAAATCCAGTTGGCCATCTAGTATAATGTTTGAATTTTCAAGTTCATTAATTTCCATTGCTTTCAAATGATTTAACTTCAAACCTTCATTTTCTATGTGTGAAATTTCGAAATATCCGTTAAAGATATGATTTGAATATGTTTAACTAGTTTTCTTATTTACATAGCTCAAATGATGTTCTAAACTCTATAATTTTTGTTTTTAATATTCAACTTTTTGAATTTTAATTTTTGTTTTTAATATTCAACTTTTGAATAGCAAAACCGTCCCGAATCGTTTTTGCGTAGACTTTTTTGGAAAGTATTTTGTCTATTAATTCACTTTTAAATCCGTTATTTACTGCAATTTTCCTACTGATATGAGTTCTTTATTGAAATTATTTATTGAAAGAGGAACATTGACTAATTTATAGATCATACTATTATAAGATGCTATTTTGTGTTGATACGGATGGGTACAATCGTAATGAATTGTAATATCCGTATAGAAAGGTATGTGATGAATTGAAAAATCATATTTGTTGTTTATTCTCCTATACTAATTGCCAAATCCAAGAAATTGATTGAGTTTGAATTGTCTGCTTCTACTTCAATAGTGAATTCAATGTTTTCAATAATTTTGTTAATATCCCTATGAAAATTGTCCAATTGTCTCTTAGTAAAATAAATTAGTTAAGGCTTTCGCTGTTCTATCTCCATTCGGGTTTGAAGGCCGTCGTAGTTTGGAACTGCCTCTGAAGAAGCCAGCCACTCGTGCTCGCGAAACGTTAGAATACAGTTCCAAACTACGATGGCCTTCAAACTTCAAACCCGAATGGAGATAGTAACACATGTCTCTTAGTACCTGTGAAACATACCAAAACGTCATCCACATAGCTATGCCAATACCAATCAGAAAAAGAAGATGGTTTTAGTATATTTATATTTCTCAGAATGAACATATGCTTTTTATATCGATGTATAGCATCTGTGGTACAATTACGATGATTCTTATAACTCAACCAGTCCGCCTGAAGATTTTGTGTATATTACTTTTCTCTGAACCGTGTTTCTTACTTTAATCGCTTGTCTGATATTGAAAGTGACTTTGTTATATGGTTGTTTCTAATCAGCTCATGTACACTGAAAAAGTCCACCATTTCATCCTCCTTATATTCAACTTATTATTTCAATATTGTAATATTATTATAATTCATCAGATATTTCCTGAAAATTTCAAAAGGTGCTAAAATTTATTAGGTTTTTCAAAAGAAGCTTTCTCTGTTCAATCGAGATCAAAAACCTAGTTTTATAATATCAGCATACCATTTCAGTAGACCCAAACAATAATCAGAAGATAAAGCAATTCTCATTTATGTTAGGGTAGTCTGCATCAATGTACTGGACCTTTGGTAAAACCGTCATCGTTAATTAGTATAATTACTTTGTTGCAGGTGCCCCACGTGATTGCAGAGTGTCAGCTTGGTCAACATGGAGCGCCTGCAGCAAATCATGCGGCATTGGAGAAATGCAACGACGCAGAGAGGTCCTGAAACACGCGAGGAGGGGAGGGCGCCTCTGTCCCCCCCTGGTCGAGACGAAATGGTGTGGATCAGCGAGATCATGCAACAAGGAATACTTCAACTGGTAATCAAGACTCTCCCAGTGAATATCTGTGCACAATTCGAGACGCCAACGTTTCAGTGTGCCGTTGTGAACATGTGTTGGGGACTGCCAAACTATACATTTATCGTTACTAACCAAAAAAGTGACTCGGGTTTTCTGCGATAAGCAAAATATGACGTCTGTAATAAAATGCACATCAATTTTATAACCATTATGTAATGATAATAATTATTATTAAGGAGAGACAATCGATTTTCTAACAACTGAAAACTAAAACACGATCGATTCCATCTGAATACTGCCCAGTGACTAACAACGTAGTAAAATAGGTGATGATTTGAAGACTTTCGAGTGAATTTATCAAAAATCAGTGATACTTTTCTTATGTAAGTTGTTGAAGTAGAAATAAACTTTTAACAGTGATCATAGCATGTCATTAAAATATTTCGTAGGCTGAACACGATCATAAGGCTCCACCTATTGGAAATTTCGAATGATTGAAGTGATTCTCCACCACTCAAAAAAATCTCTGTATCAAGTCAACTTTGCGTGATGTGCATATAATTCAAAAAATTTAAATTGATATGCTTGCCCCACCCACCAGAAAGTAATCTCATAGCTTATTATATACATATTCATACATAAAAATATAATTAATAACTATGGAATACAAATAAATTCACAGAATTCAATTCATAGAAAGAAAAATCCGCACCTTGAAAGTGCGGATTATTTCCCTCCTGTTCATAAAAGAGGACATATGCCTCCTCACTCACAAGCGATTTTGGTGAAATTAGGGGACACGTGTGAATCGTTGTATTCATGCCACGTGTCACATATGGGTGTCTGCAATATGCTGTTCAAAACCTGTTGTAAGTAGTCCCACTGTGATTCGAAAGTGCATGTAGATTATAACAACAAGGACCAACATTGTCTGCTGCATAATTGCTCATATCTAATCCTCCTGAACAAGAGTCAATGGCAACATTTAATTTGCCTCTGAATATTTTCGTTGGAGAGAATCGCTTTAAATGAATTACTAAAATACAGGAAAACTCATGGATTGATAGGGACTTTGTGCATTTTCTTCTTTCCTTGCACCTCGAATACGTCGGTTTTTCATCTCCATCCAGAGTTTTCTCTCTTATGAAGGAATCCAAGCATTGTGACAAACTCAATTGTCTAGTTTTTTATGGTATGGGGAGAGACAAATTCCAGAAAGAATCGAAGGTTACTGAGAAATGTCTACAGTGTGTGCACTTCATAATGGATTTCAGTTGACCAATCTCAGACTTGTACATGTTCAAATATCTCAGCCCGGACTCTTGTGCTTTTCCGCTGTCGCTTAATTTTTCGTTAATCTCCGTTGAGATCGAATAGGTTTCTCAGTAATTCTGATGGACAGAACCCATGAATCGAGGGACAGATCTTTGAATCTGACTTTTAAAGCAGACAGTGTTCATTATTCTATCAGATGAACATTCTGACGAAAATTCCTTGATAACTTCTTCGAACCCTTTAATTGAAGCATTCTTCATACTATAAATACCAGTATTGATATTTTCCATGTATAAATCCTTTTTCAAATATTCCAGCAACCATCTTGTGTTTGATAAACATAGGATTACACTGTTACATTAAACAGGTGTTGCCAATATTTTTAATCCCATTTAATCCAAGAGTTTTGACTGAAGAATGTATCACTGGTTTATGTTGTAACTGTTGATATTACGTTCGCCACTGCTTTCTTCTGAGTAATTACGGATATAAAACGAAGCTCCCATACCATGATACTATGCTCACAAAAAAAACATTTGTTCCATAACCTATGAACTGGCGAAACATTTGATCCGTTTCCTGAACCGCACAATAAAATCAATGATTTGGAAATATTTCGTTCTCCTCACAAAATCATTCATTCCCCAAGGAGCCGATAGATCATTGCGATTGAATCTTATCAGAAAATATAGTGGCCCGTTACAAAATACGCCAAACGATATGAAAGACATTTGGTCAGAGAGTTGCAAAAATATGTGTCGATATAGAACTATTACAGGCAATAGATTCCAAAATATATATTTCTATCCGGAAAATCAAACGATATGTTCAAAATGACAACAAACAGAATACTTTTTAACTCACTTGAAAAATGTAAAAATACGTTTAGAGTAGAATAATAGGTACTTGAAATTTTCTAAAATTAGATTTTAATTATGAAAAATTATCGTGTTCAAGTAAAGGGCTCTTCAAATAACGCTGCTTTGTTTCCGATTAGCAAACTCAAACGAAACTACTGCATGGTACTTTTGAACCAAAGGACAGTGGTTCTTGAAAATGTAACACACAGGTACCACAAGAACTGCGAGTAATTTTGACTTCATGTGGAAATTTTACTTTGATATGGTGACTAAATCAATGATTTTTCGAATTTGAATGATTATCTGAATTCAAAGTAGCATATGCTCCAAATGAAAAAAATTACCTCCATATATGTTCGGATTGAAAATACGTTTTGAATTTGCTCAAGTCCTCTGGAAAAGATACTGACTCTGGAGAATTTTTTCTACATTAACAAAAACCCCTTTCTTTAAGATGTTAAATGTTATACTCAAACTATGTTCGATGTAATTTCCCATAATAAGTAGGTTACTGGGTTCAGTTTCATCACCACAGTTTTAAATATTCTTATTGTATTTTTCCAGCACTCAGATATGCCTTGCTTGTAAAAATACGTCATCTTTCAAAGAAGTCTTGTAAATATAATATAGGTACAAACTTTAGTCATTAGTACGAATGTCAATGAAAAATTTCTATCAGATATTTGTGAGACTTTTTACTCATTTTCGCTCTTATTATGTCAATAAATATTCGCGTGAAGCTCACCTAAAACCAAATAACTTGATGAAATAGTAGAAACTTATACATATAGAATAAGTTGAGGGATGATAAGTTGTATATGTATGTATAATTGTACTAATATATGAATTTTTAGTTTTTAATATGGTCTGGCTCATAATATGTATGCATTGAAAATTAATAAACGTTATATTTAGATAAAATCTTCTTTCATTCCATATCCACTTGGAATTTTCTTCGATACTTCATGAATCCAGAATGACGTATTCAAGCAACACTTCACTGTGCGATACAAAACATTTCAAAAAGCCGCAACACTCGCCTGAAGAAGCTATTTGACGAAGTTTGACTGAAAAGTAACAGGGTTTTGGTGTTGGTCGTTTCATTCCACCACATTTCCTTCGATATACTCCCTTCTTTATTTTCCATTCAAATTACATATTGCTCAACATAGTGTTTAATGTAATTTTTCTGAAAGTATTTTCATAGTCGAGTTAGATCTGGTAAGTAGGATGGATTTTCCAACACAGAGATTCCATGCTCAGTGCTTTGCGGGCTGAAGCATTGTTCTCATGAAGAATTCATGACTTGTTCTTCCACGCTCGCTCACGAAGAGTGGTTAGAACCTCAAGAGAAGGGAGCTACTGAAGTACAAATGTGGTGACGGGTGATTACCATCACTGGACGTCTTGGTCGGAGGTGAGTATCGGGAAAGTAGGTGTTTACAGCTGGAAGTCTCTGACCCTCATCGTGTTTGTTCAGGCAAGAGACAGGACACAACATAGACTTTGCGAACACTAAGACCATCCACAGCGAAAACACTACAAGCTCGGATAATTCGCGAGGCCATCGAAATCGAAAAGCGACCTTCTTCCCTAAACAAACGTGATGAGAGTCAGAGACTTCCAACTACCTGGAAACCCCTAATTTCCCGATGCTCGCCTCCCACCAAGACGTCCGGTGATGGTAATCACTCGAAGCCACGCCTCTACATTTCCTGTTCAGTAGCTTCCTTCGATATAGATACCATCGAACACCCATCGATACCTCAGTTAAATCTAACGAGTAGGCAGATTGAAACCTTAGAGAGAATCAATGTCGAGACCTGTGGAGTGGGCAGATTGAGGCCCCGTCGTCAAGTCACAACTATTTCTTGAAAATAGCTCCAACATGGGAGTCGGAACGTCGAACATAAAACTCCAGACGCGGTTCAACCCGAACTCATCGACAACATCGAGCGTATCGAGTAAAGTCGGTCGACTTCCGCCAGATGATGACAAATGTGACTTTGTCGAAACGTCATTAGATCAATCCCACTAGGCATAATAGCACAGTACACGGATCAAAAACCGGAAACCTGTTCAGCATACTCATATCAGTGAAAACTTTAGATTTATCATTTCAAACCTTTACGAGAAAAAGAGGTCAATCAAGAAGAAGAACCCAGGTAAAAACCAACAACAATATTTATATAGTAGGAAGCAGATCGTGTAAGGACAGTCTACTTCCGAACACGTAACAAAATATCACTTTACATATATAGTAGGGAGCGGGAAGTAGACTAGTCTATCATATAACAGACTTAGAAAAATGGTGAATACATCAATCAGAACTGAACAAGAAGTGTATGTATAGTTCAAGTGAACGATATATAGTGCAACCTACCTTCCAACAGCTCCCCTTTAATAATATAGTTAGGGAGCCAACTAATTTCGTTAATCAATAAATATTTCTGATTATATAACAAACACAATATATATATACATATACATATACATATATAATGTATAGAAACACATGTGTATAAACTATGATTAAAAGGTATCGATCGTTATAAAATTCTTGCAAACTATAATAGGGCATCTCGATAAGATAGATAGATTTTCGAAATTCAGTACAATTTACTAAGCATTTCAGGTATTTAGGAAGATGATTATACATCTTGAGACCATTATACAATATAGAATTTTCAATTGAAGTAGTGTTAGGTATGGGAAGACTTAAATTTAGGGTCTGGCGCGTGGTGTGATGAGAGACAATAGAGGAAAGTTCTGTTCTATGTTTATGCACTGAACAAACTGTTCCTAAAATGAATAGAGCATACAGTGATGAAATTTTGTTTGCTACAAAAAAAGACCTACAAGAATATCGCCGCCTGGCTCTACAGAGAAATCTTAATGACCTTTTCTGCAGAATAAAAATCGACTCGAGTCGAGTTTTATTACTTACCCCCCAGAAAGGTATCNTTTTTGGCCTTTGAGGCCGCCGGCACTTTAAGTATGCACAATACCAGTTTCTTCGACTATGCCTTACGAGTCCAAATCGAATTCTAAGATTTTCTGTAATCCTCTGGAACATCATAAACGGTCCGGAATATTCAGAAATAAATCCACACTCTTATAATGATTTCCTGTCAAATAGTATTCCTATTATACATGACGATAAAATATTTCCTTGAAAATACAAAACATTCTAGGTAATCTTGAAGCCAAATTTCGCTTCGAAGAAATGTCGATAGAAAAAGTGAATCCAGTTATACGCACAATGAAAACATAGGCTAATGGTCACACCGAGTTTGAAATTGTGTTGCCTCAGCTTAACCTTTATCTAACGTTCATCATCAATACCTGCAACGTCAAGGGTGTCTAACCCTCTTTATGGAAAATGGCAAACAGTATACCTGTGCCAAAAATCAATAGTCCTCATGAACTTTAACATTATCGTCCTATTAGTATTCTTCTAACGATATCCAAAGTTATTGAGATAGGGGAAAAATGTTGTTACCTACTCATTCAGGCTTCTGAGCGCGACATAAAATTCGTGTTCTGCTTCACGTTACGAATGAGATTTCT